GTCTGAGTTGGAAGGGACATTAAAGATCTTCAAGTTCCAACTCCCCTGCCCTGGGCAGGGACACCTCCCACCACACCAGGTTGCTCCAAGCCCCATCCAACCTGCCATTGAACCTCTCCAAGGATGGGGACACATCACTCAGAGACCCTGACTTGAATTTCAACAAATACCACTGATTTACCCAGAAACTCTAAGAAAACATCATTAACTTCTCTATGCTTTAATTTCCATGTCCAAGAAGGAAGAAGTTGTTCCTTCTCAGGGAGTCTGAAAATCAACACACACAAAAACGTAACATAATCGATCAACTTGCAAGCTCAAGGCTTTCAAAAGGAACCCTTTAAGAATTTTCCTCCTCCCTTTTCTTTTTAGAATGCTTGAAGTCACAAGGCATCGGGTAGCAAATAAAATTAAAGACTTAAAATTTTAATTATTTTTTTTTAAGTAACCTTGAAAAGCTGAAAGCAAAAAGCACTAGATTTGTCAGCATGTTGGTGTCACTGCAGATTTTAAACAAGCTACAGCGGACGAAAACAACCTGACAAACCTAATGCATCAAGTTAAGAATATCAAAACTCGGATTTTGAAAAGCTTTGAGCTTGCTTTATTCGAGAGGAAGAGGAAGGGGCTGTTTCAAAGCCATCAGCTCTGCTGACACAGGGGGACAGCAAATGCATTACCACTGGCCTGAAGGACTGTCCCAGTTGAACCCAGAGTCCTGGTGAGCCTTTAGTGGGAGAGCCCCTGCCTTGGAGAGCTTATAGACAAATGAATTCTCAACAAGAAAATGGCAGGAAAAGAAACAAAGACAAGAAGGGATAAATCACTATGAATAAGGAGCTCTTTTCTGTATGAAAAGATCAGATCCACTCATTTTTCTTCAGTCACTACTCTGTCCACACCCCCCAGTATCCAAGGAAATTCTTTTACCATTTGAAAGCACTTATTAATTTCTACTATTCTTCTGGGATTTCTATTTATCTTTTGCTGTTTTCTCTCTGACACATTGCAAACCACAGCCTACAACGCAGTTTAACAGCAAATCATCCAATTACATACTTCTAAGTCGATTTTTTAAAGCATTTTCTTTGCAATAGAGAAAATCAGAGGCAGAAAAGACACCGGAGACTCACAGCGAACCCTATCACAATACCTGATGTCCAAACCCCACCTCTTGCAGGGTAACACCACTCGTGTGATGGCATCTTGTTTAAACAGGTAATTTTGTGAGACATTTTTACCTAACAGTTTTCTAAGCTTTCTGTTTCACATTCAGGACACAGGATGGCAGTTTGAAATGGTTCACCCTCCTGCGCAACCAGAAATTTTTGTCCAAAGTTGCTTTGCTACCAAATATGGAAAAAAAAATCCCCCCAAAAAATCAAGATCTGTGTTATTAATCTGGTAATATCTTTCCACCAGTGCCATCCACCTTCCTTCCTCCAACACCAAACAACCTGATCGCTGCTTTAACCGCTCTTTGTTCTCTTCTCCCAGCTGCTGGCACAGAAGTGGGATAAAAAAGAAGCCCAAATCCTACCAGTTTTTTGCAAGAAATTCCCTCTTTCCAGTCCCTACAGCCTGACTGCAAAGTGAGGAGCAGAAAAAGCCTATCGGGCTGCCCAGGGGACCTGGTAAAAAGCTGCTTTTTCCCATGTCAGTGATTTTCCTCATTAGTCGTCATTGCCAGGAACCTTCAAGCTGGTGAGAGCACAGAGAAGTCTCACATTGACACTCTCCCCTTTATTAAGCACAGCAAAAATGTGATTATGCAGGAAGAGCTGGACAGAAGTGGTATCCTGGGCTGCAAATTATTAGCCAATAATTAGCAAGCTATTGCCTTTTGCATATCACATTCATATCAAATTCCTGCAGTGCTCTACATCCAAGTATTTTCCTTTTCCATCTTGGTTTTCTCTTCCAGCTACACCTACAAAGTTTCACTCTCTCCTTGCTGGTATCATATCCTTAAAATTTATTGCAGAAGTCAATGCAGGTTCTAATTAAGTGATGATAATTAGCTGTATAGTATTTCTTCTCACGCGTAAGCATAGGTAATCAACTAAAGGCACCCAAATTCAAACCACAATGGAATTTATTTGTGATGCAAAGACATAAAAAATGCTGCTTTCTCTCCGAGCTGACACCCAGTTGTCACATTTGTGGAATTGTCACCACAACACTGTAAAACTTTACGTGCCACAGATGCCACTGGCTTAAGTAGCCCAGCTTCAGAAAATAGATTTCATTTTTCAGAAGCCAAGGAACTCAACCACTGCTCCTCTCAGGCCTGCTGTGCATTATTAAAAGGTCAGCAGAAGCAAGAGCTCTAAAATGGTCTCTGTACAGTTCTTTTTAACAGGGTCTTTCTCCTCCTTCTTGCATTGAAAAGCAGCAAAGTTTAACTCAATTTACTAAGCACTGTCTCCCAGCTTGAGTTGGCACCAGGTAAAAAAAAAACAAGGGGGGGAATTCACTTCTCCAGAAACCACTTGAAATTCTTTGCTATCTCAGACAAGCACCAGGTGGAAAAACCTGCCAAGAGCCTTTTCTTACTCATCAACTCAAAGAGTTTAGATGACTTCCTCTTGCTTCAGGTTGGAGAGGTTTCCAGTGGTGATCCTCCCCCCTCTGTCACCCTGCCAGGCTCTCCCCTTCCTGACCCCGAGAACACAGTACAAAAGCTAATTTATTTACCCAAGTGCTTTGCCCGGTGTGGGATGGAGTAAGGTGGGTCTGGAAGAAGGAGAAGAATAGGCAGTTGGGCAAGGAGGGAGCACTGCTGCAGGCATGAGTGCTTTATCTTCTGTTTGATCTTTTCTGCTAAGGGAAGACAAGAATGGACGTAATAAATCTGCATAAATACAGGAAAGAAACAAACAACCGTCAGGAGTCTGGGGTGACTGGGGAAATGCAGATCACTCTTGTTACCTGCCTGCTCTGACACGGGGAAAAATTCATGTTATAAAAAGCAGCCATCACAAAGAGAGTGGTCACCTTTTTAAAAAGAAGCAGCATCTAACTAAACAACAAGATGAAATAAAGTCATATAATTCAAAATGAAGAAAAGAAAAAAAAGAAACCCAATAAAAACCAGAACTCCTCCCCTGAATATTTTTGTGGGAATATGGATGTGGTTTTGGGCAACCTGGTCTTGGCAGGGGGGTTGGAACTGGATGATCTTCAAGGTCATCAAGGTCCCTTTCAACTCTAACCCTTCTGTGGTTCTATGATTAATATTTCCTGAGGAATATCCCCATAGCCTTTTGTGTGGGAAGCAGAAATCACAGAACCATATGGGGTTGGAAGGGACCTCTGGAGATCATCTCCTCCAACCCCCTGCCACAGCAGCATCACCCACAGCAGGTCCCACAGGAACGTGTCCAGGCGGGTTTGGAATGTCTCCAGAGAAGGAGACTCCACCACCTCTCTGGGCAGCCTCTGCCAGGGCTCTGCCACCCTCACACCAAACAAGTTCCTCCTCATGTTCAGATGGAACTTCCCATGTTCCATTTTTTGCCTGTTCCCTCTTGTCCTGTCCCTGGGCACCACTGAGAAAAGCCTGGCCCCATCCTCCTGACACCCACCCTTGAAGGATTTAGAGGTGTTGATCAGATCCCCCCTCAGTCTTCTCTTCTCCAGACTAAAAATCATTCTAAGACAGCATGAGATCAAAAAAAAAGTGCCATGCATGGAGATTCCTGCAAGAACCTTTGGCAGTATTTTAACTGGGATGTCTATTCCTCCCTGCCCACGAGACTTTAATGCCATGTCACCTTTTCTTTTCCTCCACAGTCAAGGTTCTTGATCTATCTCCTGCCACTTGACATTTCTGAGATCATTCTCCAGCCTCAGCTCTCCACCCCTCCCCAGATCTCTACCCATGCCACAGTCCGTCCCTTACCTATATACGTTACTTGATCTCTTTGATGAGTTATGCAATGTTTATCCACCATTTGATCTTCCCCGATTGTATCGTAGCAACAGACAACAGTTTATGGAGGATATTGTGTGAACACTCTCCAACAGAACCCGTCCGTGAGTCCTGCTGGTTTCTTGGGCAATGTTACACTCTTCGGAACAATAATGCTACTCAACAAGTTATCTTAATTTTATGCTAAAATTAGAGCAGTTGGACATTATTTATTTCAAGTCCACTGGTTTTATTGAATGCCGGGAAGCAGCCAGAATGTGTCACCAGCATCGCAACCCACAGAACTTCATCTGTGACATCCATGCAACGCCGTTTGCAAAGCTGAGTAGTCACAACAGAAAACACTACATGGCAACCACGCAAAGGCAAATCCAAATGTGCCCACCACATTCCTTTGCCTAAATACGTTTGTAGAAGGGGAGACCTAAAACCTCTAGATTTGGATTCAGAAGATTTTTTTTTTTTTTGAAGTGGGAAACAATTCTGGACAGCTCTTCGAAAGGATCCTCTTTCATTGCCCGTCATCCTTCTGCTTACAAGAAAAGTAGGTGTTAGTGAAGCCTGAGGGAAGATCTCTCTTAAAACTTCAAGGAAAATCAGGAAGCAAGATCTATCATGCAGCAGCCCTGTTTTCCTTGGAGTGGCTCTGAGCACAGTGTCATTAGCCAGGGCCATAAACCGTGAGTCAGGCTGCTCCTCAGGCAGCTCGATTTCCCCAAAGGCAGTTTTGATCAGCAACGAAACACCAGCTCTTTTGTTGCTGCCTAAGGCGCCGTTTTCAGAACTCTCACTGAACACAGCTCCCGTGGACTTTAAGAAAAGAGATTTCATAGAATCACAGAATGGTTTGGGTTGGAAGGGACCTTCAAGACCATCCAGTGCCACCCCCTGCCCTGGGCATGGACACCTCCCACCAGAGCAGGTTGCTCGAAGCCCCGTCCAACTTAACCTTGTTTAGCATCCACATTTATTTTGTGAGCAAGCATTCCAACAGCAGCCTGGCTTTGGCTTTTGATAGAGAAGTGCCTCAAACTACAAAAGCATCCAGATTTTGCAGTTTTCTAACCTTTGCTGGTGAAGTCCCATCACCTGCTAAGCAGCATATTCCCCTCTCCCTCAGCAATTCAACCGTGTTCTTCATAATCCTTCCAAAAGTCCCTGCTTATGGAGCAGCCCCAGTACCTCTCTTGCAGGTTCTAGGAGATATCCTGAACTTCGGCTTCATAATCCAGGGTTCTTCTCCCTTATTCTGTAAGGGCCCCCTTTCTGTACTGAATTCTCCTCTGCCTACCCCTGGGCAGGCAAGATCTGTAAGGAAAACCTGATTATTCTATTCAGGGTTTAACCTTTTCCTGGGTGCCTTCATCTGAACACTCCATCCAGTACTAGAGAAGCACATTCTAGTCTACCCTATCTCATCTTCAGCTGTTTTCTGGTCTGTTTCTCTGTCCTGCTCTTCTGATCTTAAACTCCTCCCAAAGAAACCGCCACCAACTCCTGTTGACAGGTTGTTCCTACTTCATCACTCATCACACCGTAACGGTCATTGCTCACACAGCTCCAGAAAAGGAAATTTAACAGCGAACAAGAAGCGATTCGCAGCCTCTTGTCAGCAAACACCACATCTCTTTCCCAATTAATAAATCAATGCTGACTGAAGGGAGAACAGAAAGAGGAAAACAGTTTTTCAACCCTAAAAACCGTAACTTCTCCTCCAACACTGAATATTCTAAAGCTTATACCCATCATTGGGCTCACCAACTTTAAGTACTGTTTGCAGGACTTGAAAGCAGATCGAAGTGTTTTTTTTTTTTAACTAAAAATCGTAACTTCTCCTCCAACACCGAATGCTCTAAAGCTTATACCCGTCATTGGGCTCACCAACTTTAAGTACTGCTTGCAGGGCTTGAAAGCAGATCGAAGATTCACTGAATCCCAGAATGCTGTGGGGTTGGAAGGGAGCTCTGGAGATCATCTCCTCCAACCCCCTGCCACAGCAGGGGCACCCACAGCAGGTCCCACAGGAACGTGTCCAGGGGGGTTTGGAATGTCTCCAGAGAAGGAGACTCCACCACCTCTCTGGGCAGCCTCTGCCAGGGCTCTGCCACCCTCACAGCAAACAAGTTCCTCCTCATGTTCAGGTGGAACTTCCCATGTTCCAGTTTGTGCCCGTTCCCTCTTGTCCTGTCCCTGGGCACCACTGAGAAAAGCCTGGCCCCATCCTCCTGACACCCACCCTTGAAGGATTTAGAGGTGTTGATCAGATCCCCCCTCAGTCTGCTCTTCTCCAGACTCAAAAGACCCAAGTCCCTCAGCCTTTCCTCAGCAGAGAGATGCTCCAGGCCCCTCATCATCTTTGTAGCCTCTGCTGTCCCCTCTCCAGCAGTTCCCTGTCCTTCTGGAACTGGGGAGCCCAGAACTGGTCCCAGTGCTGCAGATGGGGCCTCACTGGGACAGGAAAAAGCAGGCTTTTCTTTTTATGCCCCAGCATCCTACCAGCAGCAAAAATAACATGTGTATGCAGTACAGGAGACAGAGAAGAAAAATACAAGTTGTTCCTTCGTTCCACCAGCACCTGACTGGCACAGGGTACCCCAGGAACAACCCACAGAGTACCTGACACCGACCTACAGCACTTCTCACCTTGGTTTACAGCGTAATACTACAGACAGTGTAGCTGCAGTGGCCAAAAATGTGCTATAATTACGTGATTATAACATATTTAATCATGTTATAACAAACAACTGACAAATACCCATCAATAGCCTCAGCTAACTTTCAGCTATCCTTCGCCAAGGAGGAATTAAGTTCATTAACAGGAGTTCTATTGCACTCCTACACTGTCCCATGTTGTCCAAGCCCACTGAGGACAGAGGTAACAAACCCCACTGTATTCTATATTTTCGGCTACAGCGCCAGTTGAGTCAAAAAATCAAAAAAGGCAAAACTAAAACAACCCAACTAGTCTGAAATCATACCTGTAAACTGAAGATCTTTTCCAGTGTACACATCATTCCTAATTTCCTTATGTCCCACAAGAGAAGTGAATTATTATTCTGTAAGAGGTTGCACTGCTATATTCGGATTTCCTGCTGCTGCTTCATTTTACTTCCTTGAATAGGTCACTGACATCTACATTTATTGTCTATATTTCAAATCAAAATGTAGTGCTCTCAATTCATTGTCAAATTAGCTGCTAATATTTTGAAACAGAAGGGTCCAAATATATACAAAATACCCAGGCACAGATACACGCTTATTCATTTAGGTTTTTCACCGTACGTTTTCTTCACAGTATAAGGCTGTCAATGAGAGTCTTGATTTATTCTGTTTTCTTCAGTATGGCTTAGCACACAAAGCAAAAACCACAATTCTGACCATCTTACAAACAGTTTGATAGATTTCTACGTCCACTGCATCATCATGATCTTTTATAATACGCAATATCCTTCCAAAATTATCTCTCACAACACCAATATTTACGATTTATTTCCTCATAAGGTAACAAAGTGCCCTCAAAAGCAATACTTCCGAAGTTGTACCGGACCTCAGATTTGGTCATCTACCAAGAAAAACAACCTCCTTAAACTATCCTGAGGGCAGGAAGGGACACAACAAGAATTCTGAGACTTCAACCCAATTTACCTCGCTCCCCCCGCTCAGCAGCACAGTGGGGACGGGGGCAGGGACGTGCCCCTGGGGTCAGGGTGAAACTGTCCTTTTTTTGGCAGCAGTGTAATCTTAGATCAGGAATGTCCCATTCCCCTTCCATCTTTCTAAGATCTCATGCCATCAGCACACACAAAGGTACGAAGTGTTCAGATCCAGGAGAAGGCACATTCTCCCTGTTACGGGAGAAGCCATTGAGTTTCAGACCGTGTAAATAAATACCTGACTGTTAGAGAAGGAGGAGGACCACAAACAGGTTGGCTGACACACTCTGGAAATAAACACGGCTGTTCCATCCCCGTTATCAGACTGTACCTGATCTGAGTCTCAGCAGGGTCCCCTTTTCTAAGCAAGCAACATCACGTCTCAGCACGACCCAGCTCTCGTGACCTTTATTGTTATTGCTGTTATCAAGGACATCACAGAACGGTGCTCCTTGGAAGCTCAATTTAGCTTTGATTTTCTAATGGAGCAAGGATGCAGTTTTTCCTTTTACATGTTTATTGTTGTAGGGATGAGCCCTTTTAAGGTGTTTCATGTTATGACTTTTGGCACAGAAATAGATGCTGACTCACTGGAAGAAGACAAAAGATGAAGAATCCAAAAACACTGCTCTCAGTATCATTAGCTAAGCCTGCAGCCTACAGATGTGGAATCCCAAGCCCTGAAAATACTTGATTTTAATATATTAGTAACCCCTTGCTTTCCACTGAAGTCATCCTGAACACATTCAGGCCTTCAAAAAAAATCAACACATGGAAACAAGATTAATTTTCTTCTCCACTATGAACAGGTAAAAACTTAAGGATAGAAATGCAGTCCCAGTGCTACGGAAACATTGGCAGCATCCTCCATTCCATTAGAAGGCTTCACTCTAAATTCCCAAAGCAACTCTTAAGAGACACATTTTCTAAGCAAGCAAATAATTGCACATCTGCTCAGAAGGTCTTTTAGATACCCATTTTCCTGCACTTTGAGAATAAACACCAACTACGTTCCAAACCTTCAGCAGGTTTAAACGAGACCCACCAGGAACGCATTGCTTCTTCACAAACCACGCTCCATTCGAAGCCACTGTCCAAGGATCTACCACCTTCTGGGCAAAGCTACCTCAGGTAGGAGGAAAGGGTATTTCCAACGTGACTCCAGGACTTTCAAACATGTCACCAAAGAGCTATGCTCCGGAATGCCTACCTGATGATGGGTGTCTGGCCTCCCAGTTACTCCCAGTAGGAGAAGGCTGTCCAACCAACTCTCCAGGGGTCTGCCCTTCAGGACCAGGGCCAGCGCTTGACCCATGGCCATGCCCAAGGAGAGGCCGTAGGGCCACGGGGGGCACATGGCTGGGCTAGTGGCCAAGGGTGGGCAGAGCCAAGGGGTCTCATGGTCACAGGCAGTTGAAGTGCTTTCGGTGTGACGTTGCTAATAAATCAAACCTTACAGGTAACACCTAGATGGTTCACGTTGTCTCAAAACCTCACTTCCATTTTCCATAAGTAGCAGAGTTTCCTAGATTCCTTTTAAGCTGTTTTCCTTCCTCTGCTGTAAGTTATTTTCAACTTAACGGTACTAAAGGATTAATTGGATGCAATTCAATTAAATATTTATGGGCTTTGCATTTATTACAGATCCTAGGCCTCCTATACACACATGCCAGCATCTCCATTTAATGATAAACATTATCAACATTCAGGAAAGATTATACCCACCTCAAGTTAATAAATCAAAACATTAAGTTATAGGTTTCTTTCTGTTTTAATGGGGGTTTAAGCCATTATGCAAGGAGGACAGATTTCATATCGCAAAGTTGGAGATTTTTATCTACTAAAACGGAGTCACTAAATACCACATCCGAAAGAGGTGACTCTTAAATGCAATTGGCCATAAATTAAACCACACAATTACCAGGAAATTCTCACACTTTGGTGAGAGTACTCTGCATCACGCTTACATAAATAGACTTACGCTTCTATTCAAATGCCAGTCACTCTCAGAACCAGGCAGTTACGATGCCTTCATCACGTAAGTAAATTCAAAGTTAACTCCGGGATGAGTTCAAACCAGAACACAAAATCAGCCATTGGCATTGAAATTCCCTTTCACCACCGTGTTTCTATATTTGTTGCCTACATTTTGGGCTGTGATTTCATGAGAGAAGATAGTGGCTGCTGACAAGCAACCTTCAGCATAGCACTTTGTCCTTCCTCAGCCCATCCTGCTGCTCATTCCCTGGAGAGCTCTCTCATGCTTTCTCCCCACTGTTCTTGCAGTCAGAGCTCAGCAAGCAAGCGGGGAGTTGGGCAGAAGAATTTTCCTGCAGCTTACAGAATCACAGAATCACAGAATCTTCTAGGTTGGAAGGGACCTTAAAGATCATCTTGTCCAACCATCAACCCAACTGACAAAAATAGACACCCACACAACAAACACTGCTGCAGA